ATCATTACGTATTCTACTAATATAAAGCAACTTAATTTTGGAGTTGATTGCGTGTACTCATTCATGTTATCTAACTATCCTCTTTGAATTATTGCAAAGATAATTTAGAGTCAAACGAAATGTGAGCCATAAATGCCAGACTATAAGAAGGAAACGTCTAGGATTATTTTTAAGATTCCATGACGACATCATCAGGAGTAATTCAAGAAAACTTGTAAGCTCAGGATAGAGTGAGTATTTATCTTTCGAGATTCGAAACAAATGCTGTTCGATTGCAAGTGAGGTACGGAACTGATATGTTCGGCGCGTGCAATTATGTATGAGTGCGTGTGGAACAATAAATCAATAACTTATATATCCCATTTGAAAATAAGACTGCTACAGTACTCGTAAACTACAGCAATGAATAATCGTGCCTCACAATATAATACAATTCAATTACAGTGTAATTTGCTTCATGGTCTGTAAAAAACATAAAAAGTCTTAGGCCGCAGCACTCAACTCGAATGTTCCTCTTGAATAAAGTAGTACTTATTCATAAATCACCGTAAATCAGGCAATAATATGTACATCAGTGACAATACCTGATAAGTTCTTTGGTAACTGTAAGATTCCCACAAAATGCAGAAATAAAGCTTTTGCCTCAACAATATGGTTCATGTCAACCAGGAAAGACAATTACTGTGTATGCAACAACAAATATTTTTTTAATTTCCAACAACAGGGCATTTTGTACAAGAACACGCCCTTCAACTGTATTAGAACATGCCAATTACCGAAAAGAAGTAAAATTGTACTTAGGTTTCTTTTCGCAAATCACCAGCTGCTTCTACGTTCAGGAAAATCAAACATTAATGCTTATAACCGGAAGTATATTTCTCTTTTACTCAGTACCTTCAGTGGAATAGCCTACTATTTCATATAACATGTCCCCATGAAGTAAGCCAATTGAATGGAACAGTCCTTCCTGAGAATCTAATAGTCACTCAGCCAGTCAATAAATTTTATTGAACTCGAAAGTTCATCATCGTGTTCAGAAGAGCCCGTCACTGCCACCTACCATCAGCCAAATTAAGATAGTTCACGCCTTCATATCCAATTATTTAACATTCGTTTTAATATTATACTCCTATTTGCGCCTAGGTATTCCATGTGGTCTCTTCCTTTCATATTTTTCGACCAAAACCCTGTTCGCACTTATCAATTCTCTCATTCGTGCCATATGCCCCACCTATCTCATCATCTTTCACTTTATCATTATAAACAGGTAAAATTGAAGCTCTAATAAGACGAGATACATATTTCTATTTTAAAACCTATTATTGCTCCTGAGTTATTGTAAAATAAATAGGCCAAAAAAATCACAAACTAATAGTCACGTGAGTAAATATAACTTCCAGTTGTTATTATTTCTATTAATATTTTTTCTTTGCATCTTCTTGTGCAACCTTACTCAAGTTCACAATCTAAATATTTATATGTATTTCCCGTTAAAATATGTTTTATTTGTTATGAATCCTTTTAAGCTTGATTAGTTATGGAAACAGTGTGCCTAGATCCAACCATGTTCATACGTAACTATCACTGTCCGATTGTCACTATGCATATCATTATCATCATCATCTATCATTCTCAATGCATCACCAAATAAAAGTAAGGCAAATTAACAAATTTTCCATATCTTAAATGAACCCAGCAAGCCTACTATAAAATTTACTTATTTAACAACTCCGAGGCACAGAAAAGAATTTGATGGCTCCTGATGAACACAATTCACACACACATTTTCCTCTGCCTTCAATTAGACACAAATCAGATGGCCCCACAAAATATTCTGTGCAGAAACTGTTAATTTTCATTGTTATAAACATATTCAATCCTCACAAAAGGGATTTATTACACCACCAGTGAAAGGCACAGAAGATATTGTACATTGTAATTAAAGAATAAAGAAATGTCAACTAACAGCGTCTTACCGTTTCCAGTTGAAGTATTTCCACCCCATCACAGCACAAATTGTGCTGGTATTTTACGCACTTGGTTTGAATTTTGATTACTCTGCAATTTTCACCGTGTAGGCTACTGCAGAATGATCTGAGTGACGTCAGCTCGCGTCGTCGGATCGAACATATTTAGCTTTTTGCGTCGGCCACTTGTTGGCGTTGCGGTCTCACAGTCAAATAAAACACACGAATGGAATCCAACATTTCATATTATTTAAGCAGTGTTTACATCTGGTTACACTGTGTATAGAATCTGACAGTTACAGAAACGTGGAACAATTCTGTCTCCACTTAAGTCACGACACTCTAAGAGGTCTGCACGAGCCGAAATTTTAGAATTTCACCTGGCCCAAGCCCGAAGTTTATCTTTAAATTTGTTACCGTAACCCCGCCCCCCAAGACCGAGTTACTTTTATTCTAGCCAGAATAAAGCGCGATCTATTTACAAGTTACTAAATACTAAGTGAGTTTGCCCTGACCATCGTGCCATCACTACATATTTTAATGAATAAATGCCAATAATTCTTTAATTAATTATTTAACTACTCTCTAAGCGCATATGAGGTTATTTTGGCATTCGAGGAACAGTACAAAGATACAGGATGCCAAGTTTGTAAGGTGTTATCTCGAATTATTTCTGGGAGGGGCAGCTACGGAAACCCCAGAGAAAATCAAATCTGTGAGACTTGTTTATGGGACTCGACCGTGTCGCTAGCAATAGGCGAGAGCAAATGCGAACAAAATTTTCTTTGCGAAAAAGAAATGGTCCGAGAATGCCCGAAATATTCTGAGAAAAGCCTGATTACTATAATTTGATCTAGGCCCGATCCTCGAGTGGGTCGGGGCCGTGTATAGTAACTCTGTGGCACTCCATACATTTTGAAATGTTACGATAGAGAAGCTCCATTTTAACCCTTTAAAGTCTACCGGTAACCAAACGTACAACCTACATTAACAATCACTAATTATGCATTCTGCCAACAAAGCTCGTTTATCAGCTAAACAACGATTATTTCCTTAAACAGCAATAACAAATGAATCCTTAAAATGGTTACGGGTTGTGCTTTCATTGAGGTAATGAATGACGCGGGGTTCAGAACACAACACAAACATCTTTCAGAATTAGAATGTTTGCTTAAAACCACAACACGGCGTGGCTCCACTTTCGCAATATGACCGATCAGAGCAACGCCGTTATTCCGCCAAAGTCGGGGAATTTCTTATATACGAAACTATGTGAAACTAAATTTCGGCCAAAACTGGAGCCAGCCCACTTTTGCACTGGGCCCTTCTGTTGTGTCTACGTCGTTCGTTGTACATGGCGTATATCAATGTGTTGCACTCGATCACCGTCCCTCGTCCGGATTTTCTGACAGCATTTTTTTTTCACGGCCAGTTATTAGTAGCAGTTCGGCGATAAGCAATGCAGTTTTAGATAACAACCCATAATTCGAGGAAACACAACCTTCAGGGAAGTGTACTGCATATTTTACAGTGCCACGCGATTGTACGCAAAAAAAAACTAAACAAAGAAACGGACACTCTAACGAACTACAATATTAGTGTAGAACAGTTTTCTCTAATAATATCTCCTTATGAATACATGTTGGCGTCATTGTTTGCCTGCGATGTTAGGTTCCTCACACTTCCTCTTCAGGCTGCGTTTTCGGCAGTTTCTAACATTTTGCCAACACTTTATAGCAGTATTACCAATAATTAAGAATCACGCAAGTGTATATAAATTACGCTATCCACAATCATGTGGTCTTCGCATAATGATATGGACAAAATATACCCAAAACGGCAAGACCAGGCCTGTCCCTTCGTCTGCATATTTAAGATCGAGAGTCGTAGAACGGGTTTTCATGAAATTTGGTATAAACGTCATACCACTGAAGGTTACTCCAACCCCATACTTTCTAATTTAATAAATTCTGTAACAACGTTGCAAACGCACTAACATTTGAGGTTAGAGCCATTTAGTGTCCTGTAATGAGACGAGGTGACAGATTTTCGAAAATATGTATATTTTATTACGCTTGTTTATGTAGAATATAAAATTACATGTCTGCAAAAATATGCCATTGGAGATAGGCTAACAGTCGCTCAGAAAGTCAAACGCCGTCTTTTATGTAAGTTAAAGATTCATCACTGTGTTTCCTACCACTGGATCCCTTCCTGAGCCTGATTAATCCATCCCACTCCCACACACACATCCACAATCCCCATCCAATATCATCCTCCCAAACGGGCTATTCCCTTCAAAATAATAATAAATGTTAAATTGCCCTGGGTTTTCGTACCATCTCATGAAGACGCATAGGAGTTGGGTGGAAACAAAGTTGGAAATTCGTGTTATTAATCTCGGAATTAGATGGAGGCAAATGGTCACCTTCATGTTGTTTCTTATCGCCTAACTCCCTTGCAGATATGCACATCCAGAATAAACCACATCATGCGAGACGTGGCAATACAACTGCTGCAAACTCTTGGGCAGAAAAAGTGCTTTCCACTTAGAGACAGGTCCAGAAACAAATTTCTGAACTGTTTGCATTGTTGTAATGCAATTTTATATGGCCAAACATAGACAGGTATATATTTTACGACATGACTTTGATCAATAAAATTGCAGTTGTTGCTACTAATTAAAGGTACATGTACAGCGATAAGGTGTGGCAAGCATGATTTAGTGTTGTGCGCGATAATTGTTGCTACCATATGGCAAGGACGCTCCCATCCCACGTGTTCGTTGTGACGTCTCGCGCGCGCCGCCGGGTTCAAGTTGGTATCGATCCAAGATGGCGCGAATGGACCAACAAAATAAGGAGAGTTCTGTGTATATTGTGACCTGACCCCACAAGCCAAGGAGAGGTGAACCTCGAAGGAGGCCGGCAAGAGTCCACACAACGACGTCAAGCAGTGACATTGTTCAGAACAGACAGCAAACAACAGTGTTCTCGTGACATATGGCAACTTGTCTTCCACTCCTAACCTCACCTTCTGTATGATGTAGCAGCGTGGATGGTAAGCAGTACAGATGTAGGTGCCATTGGCGTCCAGGCAGGCCGTTAGCGGATCGGTCACCACCGTTTTGTGGGGTGGTTGAAGTTGCCCGCTGTTTCTCTGTTGGGGCATCTGCGATGAGTCGGGAACTGCTGAACATGCCGACCTGTTGAGTCCAGGCACTCCGCCAGCCGCACACGACGACAGCAACGTCAGCCCAGCTGCTCGTCACGGCCCCCTCCAGCTGCGGACGAGGACGCCGGCGCGCTGGCATCTCGTCATCTCGTTCGGCTGAGCCAGGTTACGTCGTCCCGTCCGCAAACTTCAACCGGACAGGTCCTTGGTGTACACAGGGAAGTGCAAGCAATTGCAATGCGAGTCGATCGGTTGAAAAAACAGAACTGGTGCCGAAAACGTAGTATGCGGTGTACCGAAAAACAGACTTTAAATATCATGTATTCCCGAATGCCATTTACACCGACCGATTAGAAATGGGGATGAAGTAAGTCCAGGCTTTCCGTTACGTTTATCATATGTGCATGTGCAAGTAGAACATATGGTTGCAAGCTAGCGGCTGGATTGGAATTCTGGAAATTGCCATAACATGTCCAATTACTCAGGAATTGATTTACGTTTAAGTCGTGGTGGAACAAATTGTTAAATATTAATTAGTTACAGTTTATTTAACGACAATCAGTGTTTAAAACTTCTCAGTAGGCAGGGGCAACCTCAATGTAGCCTCAGGACGAATCTTGTTTTCGCATCATGACCGCGGGAAGTTATTATCAGTAGCTGAAAAAAATGAAATCCGAAATCGAGGCTAGTGTTATGCTAAAAACTGTCGAAAAAGAAACTAGATGAAGTGGACAAACAAATTGAATAAGATTATACAGAGATTAGTAAACGATATGAGTTTCTCTTGTATGTGTTGGCTTGAGTAAGTCCGTCTTATCAAGCATTAGATATAACATCTACAGTTCAAACAACGTCGTTAAATAACACAGGAATCCATCAGTTTGGTTGGTATTTTAAGAAAAGGGATTGCGTTCTCTCCTTTACACTTCTTTCTTCCATGGAGACTGATCGTTTTGAGTTGTTGGGTCGGGTCTTCGTAAGTGGAACTGTGTAACTCCACGTATATACTTTGTTCGAAAACCTGAGGCATTTCAACGTTTCCTCCGGTCTAAGGTACAGAAAATATATGTACAATGTATCATGCATTGACATTTCATCCCTCGGAAAACGTGTTGCTGCTATATCGATTCATCAATTAGAAGAGGTCTAGAGCCATTGACACTTTCACTATATGATGACGTAACATTCTGTAAGTGTTGGTCTAAGATTGCTTGCAGTTTTCGTTCCACATACCGCTCAGCCACCAGTGATACGTCCCTACCCACAATTCTACCTCTGTCTATTTTTAATTATACAAACTGAATGTGTAGGTACGTAAATTCTAATAATCTGCAGACATGCATTTTGAGTAAGCGCAACCGAAGTTGGCATCACTACATTTCGATCGAATTTGGGCTTGAAAATGAGATTTTTTAGTTTGCCGTCTAAAACTGGGAAAAATAATGTTTTACAGCATGGTATCTTACCGCGATTTTTTCAAACCAGAAGAGCCGGTGTTTCAAGCGAGCTATCTCATGCACAGCACGGGAAAATATTCATGATGTTACGTTGACTCTCAGTGTACAGATCTAGAATGCCCACCACTCCCAAACCGCCTGACTCACAGATTTGTAAACGTCTAATTAGTCTCAACAAAATCGAACTTGTGTAAAGGGAACTAATAATGCTGTCAGGTTGTATTACAGTGTTATGTTGTAGATGTAATTAAATATTCATAATGTGAAACCGTTACTGGTTTACATTCTGTAGGTGCAAATCACTTACGATTAACATTCATTTTACAGATGTATTCCTGTTGATCCGCTGTCATTACTATATGACGAGCCCTTCAGATAATGTTCTGCGTTCCTTTACGAAGGCCTCGGAATTTGACCATATCTTTAGGGGTCAGTATGTCTAACGCAGTTTGTTACATGCGATGTTGAACCAAAGGTTTGTTCTGCCAGACAATGATGTTTCTCAATTGTGAGAAAAACATGTAAACTATCTTCGCAAAAACGAAATGGCTCGCATTCGGATGACACTGCGTTCGACTTGGGTGAGATGAATATATCTCGATGCTTTGCAACTCGACCTGTTGGAAGTTAGGATAAAACTGCTTGACCATCTACAATATGTAGCATGTTTACCATACATCATTCCAACTCACACAACTTCGGCAGCAGATACAGCATTAAAATAAAGGAAAACTACGATCCTCGCAAACTCATCGGTTGGAATTCTTATGCTTGACGAATGTTAAAGACAAAAGAGGTTAGCTATGCCTTGAGGAGGATGGCGTTTGTCCTATCAGTTGCACGTAATATAAGTTCTGACCAAAACACGTTTTTATTTAGTACCAGACATTTAACGGAAATACTTTTTATGCTGGTAGTGTTACCGGTTTGCTGTTGACAATCAAATTTAACCTTTGCATCTGTCATCTCATCCAGCAAGGAAATTATAAGATGCTGAAAAGCTCTTATCATACTGCTGCTGCACATCAGGGTGGAATTTCAAGGTCCAATCTCAAGACAAGATAAGTATGATCGGTGGACTTACCAATATGTTTTAAAGGTTTTCACCATTTCTGACAACACTCCTGCAATATTGGGTGAATCAAAGTGAACCCGGGGGTATGAGCACATACAGCCTTGAAAAAAGGCATTCTTTCCATTAAAATAAAATGTTTCTTGCATATTAACCACGGCTAAAAGTGTGAGCATATATATATTTTTAATTTAATTCTTCAAATTTTGTCACAAGGGCATTCTGATTAGGGCAAAACGTTTTGGAATGGAAATAAATGGAGGTGACCTACTTTAGGAAACAGGATGGAAAGCCTGAGAAAACAATTAATGCTGTCAGTCAGGATAGTCAGTCTTTGGCCTTAATCTTGTGCATTAAAGTCTTTCAACAAAGAACACTGGATAAAGCTCACAATATTATGGCAAAAGGCTATTAGTTCCTTCCATGATTCTGCAACTTTGCCAAACATTTTCATCTCATACCAAACTTAACCTTCCAATTACATCCAAATGCCAACTAGCCACTAAGATATCACTATTCAATTTAGCAAGAATCTAAACTATATAATGAATGATCAATCAATACAATAATTTCTTGTTATTACATACTAAAAGAAAGTTAAATCTGACTTAAGTTTACACTCAAAACCTATGGTTTTAACATACTGAACCAAACTGATGCATGTTTCATGCAGAATTACCTACTGTTACAACACAAGAGCTTTTATGCATTGATGTAGTGAGTTTATATGTAAAAAATTAAAACAAATGGCTTTACAATATTTTGTAAAAATTCTCCATGCAACATCAGTTCCTTCTCAAGTTCTTTTGTATACATGACCAGTCATTTTTAAAAGATGCTCTGAAGCACTGTGAACATGATTAAGACCCACACCCCTCTACCAATAGCACTTTTAACCAATCTATCAGCATCTTTGTAACCATTTTATTATTGGTATTCTGATGGGGCCATCTACACTCACTGGTGGACTTATATTCCTCGATTACATGCTACTCCAAGATACAATGCAATCTGAAATCACTGCACCCATAAACAATTGCCCTTTCTATTTTATAACTTTAAAAAAATGTTGTATCCACATGAAAACCCCTATGTCTGGAGTTTTTCCCCATAGGGGAAGACACCTATATCAAGGATTTTCTATCACCGTTGTAGAATGTAATGACCGCCCATCACTGTTCTAATGGATTAACCCCAAACACATACTTCAGTGCATTAGATTTTGGTGTCACCTTTTTTCTATTGCACAAGTTTGAAAAATGCTTAGCATGGCCCAATTTGTAAGGTACACTTTGGTTAGGTCATGTGGGATCTTATCCACACCCAGTGAAGGCCCTGCAAATTCTTACATCACTTGAATTGCAGCTGACAACACACTGTCCATACAACTCCCAGTAACTGTTCTTCCAATATAAACTTATATTTGACTCTCCAAACATTAAGCAAAATTCATTTTTTGGCGATAATGCCAGAGGTAAAAGTGCGTCCACATATTATGTCTTCAAAGCACAAAATTTTCACAATTTTGCATCCAGCAGCAATGTGGCGAGAGAAAACATAATTAACTGTTTACAAATGAGAAAATAAAGTACCTAAAAGCCTTGACCATTTTACTTTTGCCACACAAATGTCCATTACATGCAATGTGAAATAACCCCCTTTTCCATTCTTGGTGTTCCACATGACCACTTTCCCATACAAATTTCAGCCCAGACATCTCTTTCCATTCAAGCTTTATATCCAGCTCACTCGATGTTGCAGGCCAGTGTTATGCGGCTTCAAGAACTTCTTGTCACACCACATGCGTGTTAGGCATCTGGATGTTCCATAACCTCCTAGATTTACTTAAACATGGGGGGGGGGAGGATTTATACAAAGAGACAACACACACAGTAACTCCCAAATTATATCTGTTATAACAATTGTTCACATTTCCCTCATAGTGGACAATTCACCCAAAAATGCTTACACTGATAGATCACACATTCTAATCTCACTTAACTGTGGCTACTCGATGAAGAACACAGTTAAAAGCCTGTAAAACATCAAAACAATAAAAACACTTGCTACTGTTCCATAGGAATTAGGATACAATATTATCACATGTGCTGATAAACTTTTATTTGAACAACTGAACCATCATACACTTGAACCAGTCCATTCAACTTTTTAAATCTAATTCATTTAACATTCAAGTTCATGAATTTTAGAACAAAATTAAGTTAACCACCCAGTCTTAAAAATCAGGAAAGATAAACCACCTATTTGAAATGAAAAAATTTAATGAAAAACAAATTCTGATAAGCTTAAACAGTCATACTGAAGCTTTATCCGAACTGCAACTCATATCTGCATGATCCCCCCTAAAAGGCACGAAATATCAAATTGGAGAGGTTGGAGATTTGAATCATCAGTATGCAGTGCTGTTATGCCAAGTCAATACCATACTCAAACTAAATGTACAGTAAAATGCCAAAGGCCTAAAACAAGGATCAACTAAAAACCAACAGACAGCCGAGCTTCAAAATGTATCTCCTATACAAAAATAGTTCTTGTAGTTACAAAACTGCATACATCCCCCATTAAATAAAAAAAAAATTCCAATGTTAACACTTTTTCCTCCTAATTGGCTCATAAATTTCTCTAAAATCATCAATAGCGCTGAGATACATGCTATCTCACACAAAGCACGCACATTGCCTCTAATTGTAGGACAAACAGCCTGGGATTGAATTGCCTGTATCTAAAGAGCGTTAAAAGGATGAAGAGCTAAGATTATTGCTTGCTTAAAGAAAAAAGAAGGGGGGGGGGGGAA